TCCAGGCACTTTTTCCCCCCCCCCCCACCACACACACCCAGACACTTCTGAACTAGCAAGAACTCCCTCTATTTTGTGTACAGAAGATGACTAGCCTGGCTATTGGCAGTTTTCCCTCTACCACATTGTGGCACTGCAGGTGAGGATTGGACATGCAGAACATATGGTGCGGCAAACACTGCACTGAGTGAAGGGACCTGTGATAGCAGTTCTCACATACTGTACTTGAAATGTAGTCATACACAGGAGGACCGGGCTCTGTTCTGATCATCCCAGAGTGCAGGACATCTAGCAATGGGCTCAAGCTACAGGAAGCCAGATTTAGGCTGAATAATAGGAAAAACTTCCTAACCGTTAGAGCAGTATCAGAGTGGAACCAATGACCATGGGAGGTGGCGAGCGCTCCAACACTGTGGAGGCCTTCAAGAGAAATTTAGATAACCACCTGTCAGATCAGCTTCGATTTGGATTCCTGCCTTGAGCAGGGGGTTGGACTCGATGGCCTTAGGGACCCCTTCCAACACTATGATTGTGTGATTCTACGACCTTCAAGAAAGGGAAAAGACAGGGGAACCCAGTTGGAGATCCACCACTGTTGCCCTCCCACAGCTGCTGCCTGAGGCTGTTGCTTCATTCAACCTAACAGCTGGGCCAACCTCACTATGCATATTCCTAAGCAACCGGACACAGTTACTGTAGGACACCATTAGAGATTAAGGCACATCTAGGATGCACACTCTGGCATAGTAGATTTAAATGCCTATTGGTAGATTACGGAAGCACTTGGCTAATGATCACATATGTGGGATTCCCCAGGCATGTCCCCTGAAAGTACCAAATAAACCAGATTCTGCTCCAGAGATGACTTTGCCCCTCAGGCCATCACTCCTCTGTCTCCTGCACACGATTCCTGTGAATCAACATCCTCTGTCAGTTGATTCAAGAATCATTATCTGTCCATATGCAGACCACGAATTTACAGCTCCTGCAGGAGCTATAACAATCTGCCAAATATTAACATGCATCCAGGGCTTGGAACTGCGGTACTGGAACAGATCCTGTGGATCATCCATCCCCCACTTGTGAAGGAGGCACAAGTGGGGGATCGAACTCCCATCCTCTGGCTCTGCAGCCAGATTCCCAAACCACTGAGCTATCCAGCAGTTACTGTTTAACCGTTTTAATAATGATCTCCTCTTCCAAGAAATTTTGGGAACTGTTATGAGGCCGAGAAGACAGTCTGGGATTTTGTAATTCTCAACCTATGTAA